CAAAGGGCTGGGGATGGGGGCTCAGTGGAAAGGTATGCCTGGGTTCGAATACCTGTACCACAAATAAATAAATAAAATCTCAGGATAGGCAGTCCTCTGAGTGCAGTTGGCATCTCTAGGATGGAATCAGTAAGTATATTGGGCTGACTATGGTCGCACACATTTATAGTCCCAGTAGCATGGGCGGCTGAGGCAGGAGGATTTTGAGTTCAAAGCCAGCCTCAGCAACTCAGTGAGGCCCTAAGCAACTCAGCAAGACCCTGTCTCCAAATAAAATTTAAAAAGGGGTTGGGGGGCTGGGGATGTGGCTCAAGCGGTAGCACGTTCGCCTGGCATGCGTGCGGCCTGGGTTCGATCCTCAGCACCACATACAAACAAAGATGTTGTGTCCACCGAAAACTAAAAAATAAATATTAAAAAAAATGCATTCTGCTTTCATATATCCCAGCCATATATACCTAATTAAAATAAATAAATTTTAAAAAGGGGTTGGGGATGTGGCTCAGTGGTTAAGTGCCCCTGGGCACAATCCCTGGTATAAAAAAAAAAAAAAAAAGAATATTGGGATGTCCTCAGGACCACCTGCTTTTGATGGACATACCCAATCTTTTAACCAATAATAATGAGCAAAAAACTTAAAACAAAAAAGGGGCAGTGAGCATGTCTTGAGGAAGCAGTAAAGTGGCAGGCTAGGAGAGTGTATCCTATTTTAGAGCACTTTGAGAAATTCCAAGCAATAAATCGGGCCATTGTGGCTGTCAAAGGGCTGGGAGGGCTAGTGTGTGTAAGAAAAAAGAATTTGGGAAGAGCGCATGTTACAAATAACCTCTTCATACCTGTATCACGCTGGCAAAAAGTGAGCTGGATGATACCATGGGCCAGGTGAGGCGACAGGACTGCTGGCACTTTGGTATGGGTCTGGTGGAAGGCAGCCAGTCAGGCATCCTGGAAGTCAGCAGCACTGTTATTTGTGATGAGGGGAGGAGGTGGGTGCAATCTGGGACAGTGTCCTTAGGGGAGCGAGGAGGTAAAATGTGGTAGATGCACTTGGAGGTAGCAGTGATTAGATGTAGGTACAGTGCCGCGGACAGATCTTAAAAACCATTTGGAGTGAAAGAAGTAAAATACGAAAGGAAACACATAACAGTGCACTTAGGAAATCTTAAAACACTTATGCAGAACAGCAAAACATTTCACAAGAAGGAATACAAACAAAAATGTCCACATTAAACACAGTAAAATGGTCAGCAAAATAGGGGAGGAGGGTATGTGGAAATACGCAAGGAGGGAGAAAGTGCCAAAGGACCAGAGGGTGGACATTGGTGCCAAGGTTTTTCCTAATGGAAAAACTCTTGTGTTGTTGGTAAATGTTTAACAACTGCTTCTCCAAGGGAAAAAAATTAACCCTGATTTCAAGTGTTTGCCAAGTTCCAAGGTAAAAGCCTCCGGTGGCTGATTGGAGCTGTCCACAGGACTCACTGAAGCAGAGTTTGGGAGATGCAGGTGCCTGCTCTGCTCATGGGAACTCATCACTGTCTTCACTACCTCTTTGGAGATCTTCAATAAGTTGTGGATGGAAAATTCTCTGATAGGAACTTTTTGTAATGTTTTGAAGCCAAAATTCTCCCAAGGTAAGGTAAAACTTTAGTGAAATACTATTTCACTTGCATGATACGCAATGCATACCCTTTTGGAAATTTCATGGAACATACACCACCCCCACTCCCCAGCTGAAATCTCTTTTCTTCTAGTTTCTTGAAAAAATAGTAGTTACGTCTCTGTTTCCCCAACTATTAATGTCTAAACAAATGACTGGAGAATTATCTCCAAATGTCTATTTCCTGCCCCTCCAAAATGGTTAAAAGATAAACTATTGCCTACTCACTTATGTAAATGTTACTTGACAGGAAGTGTCATTAGCATGGTGTTTCCTAGAGAAGAGATTTCTTTTGGAAAGGATAATCATTATTGGTAAAAGAGAAAGAATGGGCCTTTTCCAAAACAATTTTTTAAATTGTTCATCTTTTAAAAACTGCATACATCAGAAGCATTTTCAGACTTTCCTGGAAAGCGAGAACTACATATTTTTAAAACCATGGGATGGGTATATAGCGCAGCACTATAGCGAGGTCCTGGGTACTAGCACCAGCACCAGCACCACCAAAAAAAAAAAAAAAAAAAAAAAAATATATATATATATATATATATATATATATATATGCTATTATATATAAGGCTATATATAATTTTTTTAAATATATATCCTTTCTTATCCTATTAGAACAGGGCCTCTGAACCTCACCACTGTTGACATTTTAAGTCAGATCATCCTTTTTTGTGGGGGCCATGTGTACATTACATTGTAGGATGTCCCACATCCTTCCTCCATGCTCACCCATTTGATGTTTATATGTATGTGTGTATATATATATATATATATATATATATATGTGTGTGTGTGTGTGTGTGTGTGTGTGTGTATAAATATGTATTTCTTTTTTTAGTTGTAGATGGACATAATACCTTTTATTTATTTATTTATTTATGTGGTGCTGAGGATGGAACCCAGCGCCTCACACGTGCTAGGTGAGCACTCTGCCACTGAACCACAACCGCCCCACCCATTGATGTTTACAGCACTAGCTCCATCACGAAAACCCAAAATGCCCCAGACATTACCCAAATGTCCCCAGTGGGGAAAAATTACTTCCAGTTGAGAACCACTGTGTTAAGAGTATGTCAAAGTATTTTGTGTAATCTTTTCATTATGTTGGTCACATTTTCACTGAGGGCTTGCCAGAACCACATTAAAAGGCAGCTGTCATTTGGGTCAAGTAATGAGTGAGTAACAGGAATTCCCTAAATCTTTATGAATTGCTCGTATGTTTCTGCTACTGTTTCATAAATATGTGCAGAGCCCTGTGCTGTGTAGACAACTATGCAAGAATTAGTTTTTGTCATGTGTTATGACCATACCCCATTCTCTGTCAACAGATGTCCTTATTTAGTTTGATTCTTAAAAACATTATTTGGGAACGGGTCAAACTTGCCATGTACCTAAGCTGAGGTGCTATTTACTAAATGCTCCCATCAACCTTTCAGATGGCCATTCCTGCTCAACTCATCTCACCTTGTTTAATTTTTTTGTTTTTGTGGGGGTGGGGTACCAGGGTACTCAGGGGCATTAGGCCACTGAGCCACATCCCCAGCCCTATGTTGTATTTTATTTAGAGACAGGGTCTCACTGAGTTGCTTACATCTTGCTTTTGCTGAGGCTGACTTTGAACTTGTGATCCTCTTGCCTCCCAAGCTACTAGGATTACAGGTTCTTTAATGTTTTGACTTTCTTTCTCCTCTGGAGACACAAAGAGAGCACTCAGTATCTTGGTCCCCATTTGACTGATGAGGAAAGTGAGGCTGAGAGAGGGTGAGGTAAAACTATGATCAAAGCAACCCAACTGGCTAATGGCAAGGGTGGGCCTAAAAACCAGGACCCTGACAAACCACTAGATTATCCTACCCCTTGCCATCTAGGACTTCAGGCCTCTTAGGCTTCTAGTCATTTTCTAAAAAGAATTCAAGAGAGGGAGATGGACTGGGAAAAGAGGATGAGAAAAAAGTATAGAAATATCATTGCCTAAATTATAATTGTAAGCTATGGAAATTATGGAAAAGCTTACACTGCACAATATATATTATTTCTTCCCAAGAGTTTTAAGTTTTCAAATAAAAATCAAATTTTCCTGAGTCTTCTAAAAAAAATTAAAAATGAGCTGGTGAAAGACCTCAGACTCATGGGCCCAAACATCCATTGCTTTGGACTACAGACGTTTCCATTTACTGTCAGCCTTGATTCTCAGGAGAGCAAACAAAGGAGCCCAGATGCTAGGCATGGTGGTGCACGCCTGTAACCCCATGGATTTGGGAGGCGGAGGCAGGAGGATAGAAAGTTCAAGGCCAGCCTGGGAATTTAGTAAGGCCCTCAGCAACTTGGCAAGACCCTGTCTCAAAAAATAAAAAGGGCTGGAGATGCACCTCAGTGCTAGAGCTCCCTTGGGTTCAATCCCCAGTGCAAAACAACAAAACCCACACAGCTAGCTCTTTTGATGTGACTGAGTGTTCAGTCTCTCCCTGTGGAGCTGACCTTTCCTAATGGTAGGAAATAGTTCCTGAGAACCTACAGACCAGACTATTTATGCAGATGCCCTCTTAGTGGATGACAGAGAGTATACGTGTCCCTCTACTGCTACTATATTCTGTATAGGTTTGGTTCCTTTTGTGACGTTTTCCTGAGAATTAGAATAATTAATCTGTTTGGTTAAACTTTCTCTTTGGTTAAAAACTGTTTATTTCCTACTTTCACCTGAAAATTAAACCCTCTGCTTATCACCCTAAAATAGGGGTCACTTTTCCTGTAAAGGGTCAGATAGTAAATATTTTAGGCTTGGTGAACCACATGAGGTGTGTGTGTATGTATATATAATTTTTTTTTTCAAAGATGTAAAAAGGAACATTTTTTTTTTTCCTCCAGAACTGGGGATTGAACCAGGGGTGCTCCACTACTGGGCTACATCTCCAGCCTTTTATATTTTTTTCTTTCGAAATAGAGACTTACTCAGTTGCCCAGCCTCATCTGGAACTTGTGATTCTCCTGCACCAACCTCCTGAATTATTGGGATTACAGGTGCATACTATGTCTGCCTGGCTTGTAGAAAACATTAACTTAGGACCATCCTACAACAATACTCTGCCTGCCTTAATTTGATGCATTCTCTAAACAATTTCAAATGGGCCCTAGCCTGGATGGAATTAGTTGTAACAACTTCACTCATCCAGATTTCTGAAGGAAAACTAGGGCCAGTTGTGTTGGTAATTTAGGAAGCAGGTGAAGAAAGGGACCTCCCAAAGCTTCTGTAATAAACTGAAGGGCAACCTTTCCTTTGCTGGTTTTGCCATAAGAAGCCTGAGCCTGGGGAAGCTGGCCCCAGGGCAGGGGAAAATTTCAAATAAAAATCCTAGGAAACAACAAGGCAGTTTATTTCATAATGACTCGTGAGATAGGTAGTGTGGGAAGCAGGAGGCAGGTCATTAAAGCCCTCCGTGGGCTTTGCTCCTCCAGAACACGCCTCACTCTGGGCAAAAGGTTCTCTCCACCATGAGGGGGAAAGCAGCACAGATCCAGTCTGGAGAGAAACACTGGCCAGGAAGTGTCTCCTAATCTTCACAAAATGCTCTGCAGATTCCTCTAATGGTAAGAGAACTTTATTTTAGTAAAAAGTCCCCCCCCCCTTTTTTTTTTTAAATGTTGGCTCCTTCCCCCACCATTAGAAAGCAGCTTCATGGATAAAAAACAATCCATTTATTTAGACATACTTTTCTTAGGCAATGTTAACTTTTTCCACCTTCGTAACACCACTCGGTATTTTTCACTTTCAGTCTTCTCTTCAAACACTTTTTTCAGGAGAATCCTCATCACTGTCTCTGTTTCTGCTTCTTTGTCCTCTCCAATGAGAAGATCCAATGTATCTCCTATTTTCACCTGAAAAGAATAAGAAAATGAACCTTCATTATATTTCAGAACACCCAGGCCTATGCAGACATCTGTTTTTCTCCCTGTGATCAGGTGATCATTATCCAGGATGGGCAGGTAAGAAAGGGCTTTGACTCCTCTGAATCTGTCACCCTTTCCTGTGCCTTAGAGTGAAAGAGCCTCTCCAAAAGGGTGCCTCACACACAGGGACTCAACACCAGCCAGTATTCTTCAGAGCTAGACAACTGGCTGCCTGTGGGTGGGCAGTTTCTGTGTGTGGAATCGTTCAAATATGTTGATTGGATGATTTAGGAAATATTTGAATGGACATATTTTTTTGGGGGGGATACTGGCAAGATAAAGAAGGTGGAACACAATCTTTGTGCACAGAAATTACCACATGTACTGGAAGGATAATTTCCAACACCATGCTTCAACTTATTTATTTATTTTTTTGGGGGGGATACCAGGAATTGAACCCAGGGACATTTTACTTCCCCAGTCTTCTTGGGCTGGCCAAAATGGCTGGCTTTGAACTTGCAATCCTCTTGCCTCAGCCTCAGGAGTCACTGGGATTATCATCATATTAGAGACTGAACCTCAGGGTAAAAAACCTTTAGTAAAAGCTATATTATCTCCAAGTCCTTCTTTGAGACAGTCTCCCTAAATTGCTGAGGCTGGCCTCAAACTTATAATCCTCCTTCCTCAGCCTCCTGAGTCACTTGAATTACAGGTGAGGCCATAATACTGGGGATTTAACCCAGGGGCACTCTAGCACTGAGCCATATCTCCAGTCCTTGCCCTGAATTTGTAATCCTCTTGTCTCAGCCTCCTGAGCCACTGGGATTACAGGTGTGCAACACTGCACCTGGCTACTTTCATTGATTTTTTTAATCCAGGTGACTTACATAAAATGGAGCTGGGGCAGTGTGTTGGAAATCATTCACTATGGACAACAGTCAGCTGCAGAGAAAAGGAAGTAAAGAAACTGCTTTTCCAGTGTTAGCTGGCCCAGGGCTGGGGATGTGGCTCAGTGGTAAAAGCACTTGCCTAGCACATATGAGGTCCTGAGTTCAATCCTCAGCACCAACAAAAACAAACAAAACACACCAGTGTTAGCTTGCCCAAGTGATGCCATACAATCATAGAGACAAGCCTCCACCCACAAAGGTGGCGTTGGATACTGTGGGTCAAACCCATTCTTGCCAAGAAGGGAGTTTTGGCTTGAGCTCCTCAAGGCACACCCTAGGGCAGTCCTGCCCGATCAAAGTCCTAAAATCTCAGGTCTGTGCTGAGGGTGTGAAGAACCTGTGACAAATTACTGGGTCCAAGTGGCTCAGGATCTCATGGAATCTTCCCAGAAGCTCAAGAAGGGACTAAACAGACCCAGTTGCCAGAGCCTGCTTAAAAAAAAAAGGCCTCCCAAACACTCCCAATGGTGGGGAACAACCCCATGTGCGGTGGTCTATACAGTCTACATGGCTATTTAACACCTATTAGAGGGCGTCAGTTAAGAAGCATGATATTGCTGGGCAGCATGCCACACACATGTAATCCCAGCAACTGGGAGGCTGAAACAGAAAGATCACAAGTTCTGGGCCAGCCAGCAATTTAGCGAGGCCCCAGTGAGACTTTGTCTCAAAATGAAAAGGGTTGGAGATGTAGTTCATTGGTAAAGTGCCCCTGGAGTTCAATCCCAGTACCAAAAAAAAAAAGACAGCAAAGGAGTGGGGCTGTGGCTCAGGGGTACAGCACTTGTCTAGCACACATGAGGCACTGGGTTTGATCTTCAGCACACATTAAAAAAAAAAAGGTATTGTGTCCATCTACAATTAAAGATATTAAAAAATTCATTCTTAAAAAAAAAGCAGGACTGGGGCTGGGGCTCAGTGATAGAGCACTTGCCTCACATGTGTGGCACTGGGTTGGATCCTCAGCACCACATAAAAATAAATAAAGATATTGTGTGCATCTACAACTAAAAAAATATTTTAAAAAACCCACAAGATGTCAAATGTTGACTTTTGCCTTATTTTTCAATTACATTCTCTGCAGCAGACACAACTTCAGACAGTCAAAATATTTGTACCTCATCAGGACAACCCCATATCTATTCTCCCACCCACCCAAGTCCTCTGCAGGTCCAACTTTGATGTTCAACATGCACACGCCTACCTACTAACCACCATTCTACACTGGTCATTCTGGGAAGCACACAGTAGCTAGATGCAAAACTCTCAAGGCAGGGGCCAATTTTAAATCAATGACTTCTCCTCTGGGCTGAGAAACAGACTCAAATTACAGTCAGGCATCAAGACTGCTTTCCCCTTGAATGAAAGGGATGGAGGGGGGATGGGAATAGAAAAGACAGTAGAGTGAATCTGACATAACTTTGCTATTTTCATATATGAATACATGACCAGTGTAATTCCACTTCATGTACAACCACAAGAATGGAATTCTAGTTACAATGTTATATTCCATTTATGTATAATATGGCAAAATACACTCTACTGTCACGTATATCTAAAAAGAACAAAAAGACTGCTCTCTCCTTAACTATGAAGAATGGACCTACATAAGCATCATCTGGAGGGGCTCTGCCCTCCTATAGTTCTGTTGGGTTCAATCAGAAATGTAAGACTTGAGCCAGCTCCAAGCTGGCCTCTAAATTTGAGGCCAGCCGTGGCAACTTAAAACTCAAAATAAAATAAAAAGAGCTGGCAATGTAACTCAGTGGTACAGCACCCCTATGTTCAATCCCCAATACTGCCAAAAAAAAAAAAAAAAAAAAAAGAAAAAGAAAAGAAAGAAACACAAGGCTTGGAAACTGCTTACCTCTTTTGGTATAAATCTATTTCATTAAAATTTATTTTTAATAAAAAAATGCATGTGATACAAAAGGGTATACAAATAAAAGGCAATATTCTTTGCATCCTTTCAAAGATACATGGTTCAGTTATCGTGCAGTTGAAAAGTGAATCCCTTTGGTGGCTTCCTTCTGGGGCAGAGAGAGGCTAGGGATGTTTCTCCTGTGCCCAGATGATCAGGGGGAGAGGTGAGTTTAGGAAGACATCAACCCCACATTTGGGCTCCTCACACCCACTGTTTGTCAACAGCTACTCAGCACCTACAGCAATATGGATCCCACCTATTTTGCAGCTCACAGAAAAGCTTTGTCCAGCTGTAGGCAGCCAGGTTTGGAGCTGCAGCATCCGGCAAGCGCCTGACCCTCTGAGGCCAGCAGCCAGACATAGGCTCTGTGGAGCAGGCCAAGGAAGGCGAGGCATTCTTTATTCCCCTCCCAGGCCCTGTCCTTTAGCAGACACAAAGCAAAACTGGCTGGGATTACTGGCTGTTCCAAATATCTACATTTCAAATCTCCCCTTAGCTGCAGTTTCTATGGCTACCAGGCCTCCTAGTAACAAGGCAGCTGAGTGTTAATGCTGGTCTCTGCCTTTGCTGACCCTCAGGAGAAATCTGGAAGGCAGTTGAGACAACAGAACACCCATGGCAGAATGAAGCAGCAGCAATTAGGCCTTAGTTAACAATATCTCAAAGAGGAGGGACAAAAATAGGCTTGTGGGGTTTGTAAATGAGGCCCCAGCAGAGAGGCAGGGTGTGCAGGGAGTAATCATTCCATACTCCAAGAACAGGTCTTGCCTTTGGAATACGGTGACCGAGGAGAAAGCAATTAAGGGCAGAGCAGGGCCTATCTGGAGCACCTGGTTTTCTGCAGTTCACTGAACAATGGCTGACACGCCAGTCTGAACCTGCCGACTCAGAGCTCTCAGAGGATCCTGGGCCTTGTGGGGAAGCGGGTTGCTGAGACAAGCATGGGGGAGCTTTCCCTCCTTCTGCCCACATAGCTGCAAGAACCTGTATCTCAGGGAACAAGGTCTGCAGGATGCCTCAGTGCTCACCCCAGTGCAGGTCAGGACAGTTACTGTTTCCCATCCCAGGGCAACAGGAGGTAGCTAAGGTCCTCCAACCCCAGGGGGATTATGGAAGATGAAATAAAACCTACCTCCAAAAGTGTATCTAACTTCACTGAAATATTTGTTCCTTATAAGAGATGACATCTTCTAATATCTCATAGGTGTTATGTTTCCAAACTTTTAAAAAAGGGTCTTTCTCTTAACCCTTTTAATGTGTTTTGTTAACTTTTACTAATAGTATTTATTTTTTCCAATTATGTGACACATACTTATGGTAAAAATTCATAACATAAAAGGCATGAAGAAAATCAACACAATCCATAACGTGCCAAAGATACATAATAGTAATGAAAATATTTTAATTCCAGATATATATATATATATATATATATATATAATATATGTGTGTGTGTGTGTATGTGTGTGTGTGTGTGTGTGTGTGTATGTGTGTATATATATATAATTTTTTTTTTTTTTTTTGGTGGTACTAGGGACTGAACCCAGAGGTTTTTATCACTGGACACATCCCCAGCTTTATTTTTTATTTTTAATATTTTTTAGTTGTCAATGGACCTTTATTTTATTCATTTATATGTGGTGCTGAGAATTGAACCCAGTGCCTCACACATGCTAGGCAAGTGCTCTACTACTGAGCCCCAGCCCCAGCCCCAACCAGCCTCTTTTTAAAAATTGAGACAAGTCTTTTTAAGTTACTTAAGGCCTCACTAAGTTACTGATGCTGGCCTACAACTTGTGATCCTCTTGCCTCAGTCTCCCGAGTTACTGGGATTATAGGTGTATACCACTGCACCCACCTACATGTAACTATTTTTACAATTTGGGGAGGGGGTACCAGGGACTGAATCCAGGGATCCCTAACCACTAAGCCACATCCTCAGCACTATTTATTTTTTTATTTATTTTTGTGTGTGGTGCCGGAGATTGAACCCAGGACTTTGTGCATGTGAGGCAAGCATTCTACCAACTAAGCTATATCCCCAGCCCACTTTTTATTTTGGAGCAGGGTCTTGCTAGGTTGCTTAGGACCTTGCTAAATTGCTGAGGCTGGCCTTAAACTTATGATCCTCTTGCCTCAGCCTCCCAAGCCATACAAAATATTTTTAAGCCAGGCACAGTGGTGCATTCCTGTAACCCAAGCTACTGAGGAGGCAGAGGCATCTCAAAAAACAAATGTATCAGCCAGACATGGTGGTGCATGACCATAGTCTCAGTGACTTGAGAGGCTAAGGCAGGAGGATTATAAGTAAGTTCGAGGTCAACCTGGCAACTTAGTTAGACTAAATAAAAAGGGCTGGGGATGTAGCTCTGGGTAGAGTGCCTCTGGATTCAATCCCCAGTAGCAATACAAAACAACAAAACAAAAATCCCAGGTATGTATGTTGTGTGTACATATGCATATATATATATTTTTTTCTCTTTTCTTTTAAGGTCAAGAGTGTTAGTGGCAGTGCTTGGCTAACATGCACAAACCCTTGAGTTTAATCCCCTACATGACAAAAAAAAAAAAAACAAACAAGCAAACAACCCCCAGAACACAAAAATAATAATACTGTCAGAAAATACAGACCATCTTTTTCAAGCTGCTGTACACACAGAGCAGTGTACTCAAGCAAGAGCTCAGTGGGGGCTGCAGAAATGAACAGAATGGAACATCTGCTCAGATAACATCAGGGCAAAGAACACCTCTACATGGATCAAATGTTTCTTTTTAATCTAATTATTATGATTCCATGGAGGCTAACATTAATACCCTGGAAGTTTAATTAATGGATTGTTGCCAGTCCTGATGGTAGCTTATCCCAAAATCCTCTTCATCACAAGGTCATTAAGGCTACAAAGGAGAAAGTGGTCTGTGTGAGTGACTGAAGCCTGTTGTTAACACCCACCAGCTGACCAGAACTACAGAGGACCTCAAGAGAAGGTAAGGGAAAACAGGGCAGCCTTGAGTAGTGGCAGAACAATAAACAAAAATTTCTGGCTGTCATTATAAGTTTAATGTCTCACCGTTCTGCTTTTCTTCCATAATTTTTCCCCATTAAGTCTGAGTTCACCTTTATAGAATGCATCTTCCACTTTGCTATTCAAAAAAAAAAAAAAAAAAGAAGTCAAAACACTTTAAAATATAGAAATATATTCAAAATAATTATACAGGTTTGAGAGAAACACCTGCCGTTAATATTTATTCTGACGACGCCCCATAAAATCTGCATTTTGAGTGCTAGGAAAGTGAAACTCAACTTTGTCTGTATGTATCTAAAACCGGGAGACCAAAGGGCACTTCTGAATATATGCTGAACTACTGCAAAGATTTTCTAGTACTGTTGGGCTGTTAATTAGATGAAGCTTTGTGTATCTGTCAGTAGGGATTAAACCCTTGGTCTAATACAGGGCTACGTCCCCAGACTCCTCCCTCTTTTTTAAAAAAAATTTTGAGACAGGGTCTTGCTGAGTTGCTAGCCTGGCCTCAAACTTGTGATACTCCTGTATCAGTCTCCCGAGTAACTAGGATTACAGGTGTGCATCACTGTGCCTGTCTATAGGAGGTTTTAGCATGCATACCAACCTCTATTCTCCCAGTGCAACAACTACATGGCTACAACTTGGTGATTAAGCATACTCAAAGTGAGTGGACACTGAATTCCCCTCAGGCACCTGCTCTGCACTCTGAGAGAAAACCCAGGCACTACATTCATATCAAGACAATTAAGAAACCTTAAGGTTGAGGAAGTGCCAACCCAACAACTGCTCAACTCTCTGAATTTAAACCACTGAACAATCAGATCAGAGGATGCAGACAAAAATTTCCTTTTGATGATCTGACTCCAGGTGACTGATAGTTGGGGTTCAATTTAATAATAACAGCAGTAACTACTACTCTGGGAAAGGAGATGTCCTGTTATGAGTTTGCCAGATTTTGGAGAACATTCAACAAATTCTGATCATCAGCCAAGAGGGGGACCAATGGGCCCAAATCTTTTTGAGACTCTTAAGCTTCATGAATTAAAAAAATTATGCCATTAAATGAGGTCTTAAAGGTACAAATTACATAAGGAAATCTTTCTGAATGTATTCATACCACAATTCTTACCTTGTATGCAGTATGCACACAATCAATCAATGATTGCTAAAGGAATGAGTGACAATGATGGTCACTGTTATAACCAGTCTAGCTGAGAGAATGAGCATATTAAAGAAATTCTGGGGGCTGGGGTTGTGGCTAAGTGGTAGAGCGCTTGCCTAGCATGTGTGAGGCATTGGGTTCGATTATCAGCACCACAAATAAACAAATATATAAATAAAGGTCCATCAATAACTAATAAAAATTTTTAAAAAAAGAAATTCTGAAAGTTACAGTTACTATTTCTATGTATTACAAACACATTAAATTTTCTTCATAATATGTAACATATATTGAATACTGACTATGTGCCAGGCACCATTATAAGTGCTTTGGATAGATATTTAATCCTAGCAATTAACCTCTAAAGGAGGTTCCATTATCCCTGTTTGACAGATAAGGAAACTGAGATATAGAGAGTTGAAGTAACCTGCCCAGGGTCATACACAGAACCAGGATTGAAACCCCAGTAGTCTGGTTCAAGAGCCTGTATTATTAACCACCACAATATACTCCTCTTGTTGATTCTGAAAGGTACCTTCTCACATTGTAGTGAAATCCAGGTGCGTTTTTATGCTTGCTATATACATCTAATATGGTGATTCCTTTTCTCCTCAAGAAGCTGTTATTAAATCAATGGTTCATCGTATACTCAATTGTGCATTAGAATCAAGGAAATATGGCACATGGGAATTGCAGACAGTCACTTGACTTCTTAGGGAATCAGTTTTCTCATCTATAAAATGAAATAGTTGAAACAGGTTACCTATAAGGTCCTTTCATATCTGTGGTTATTCTTTACCATAAATACAGGCTGAGTGATTTATGATACTACATTAAAATAACCAGATGACAATTGGGTTTATAATAAAACATACATCATACTCACTTTCTCCCAATATCAAGGCCTGTCTTCAGGATAACATCATACCGAAAAGACTGCACAACTTTCTCCAGGTCTTTGTAGTCTTTGATTACACTAGGGTCATCCTCCAGCTCCGCTTCCTGCTCACTCCTGTCCTCATGATCACCCTCCTCATCAGAGTCTTCTTCATCCTCTAATTTTTGCACAGTCTTTTTAGAGGATTTTTTAGACCTTATATTACTTTTGAGTCTTATAGAAAATGGAAAAATATATTCTGGAGATACCAAAAGCCCTGGGAGTCTCAAAGGGAAGATACTATGGAGAAGTATTTTATACTTCGATGTATTTAACTTGCTACTAGAAAAATACAAGTATCGATTCCAGGAAGCACAGAGTTTATGTGAAGAAGGTGTCCCTTGAAGAACATTCCAGAATCCAATCCAGGCATCTGATCTTCTTAAAACACCAGTGAGCAATCTGACACTAGTCATAGCCATGGCACATGTAACCTGAAACAGATAATAATTTAGTTTTATTTCACAAGTGCAGCATCATAAATCACACCCACATGCTGTGAACACTTTATATCTAGTATTATACGTAGGCTTCCCTATACAAGGCCATATTAGTCTGTACCTGCCAAGAGTAGTACCATACCATGGTGCAATTAGTATGCTTAGCTCCTAGGGTTGTCACAATGGTTCAATAAGACACCAACATGTGTGAAAACACTGGTTCTACTCTTTTCCCTCCCTCCAATTAGCTCTGGGTACTGTCTGCTACTGAAAAATATTATCAATAATTCTCAATGACTTTTCTTTTGTTAAAAGAAAAATTTTGAGAAACTGTTTATTAATATATACTATATCCTTATAATATTCATATGCCAAGGAAAGAGCAGATCATGACTTCATGAAACCCACAATGAACCTCTAAATGATTTCAACCTTCAACCCCGGTGAATCAGAGCTAGGAATAAACAAATGGGATAGACTTGATTTTTACTTCCTTTTTTTTTTTTTAAATGTTGGGTTGGGGAGGGACCAGGGATTGGACTCGGGGGCACTCAACCACTGAGCCACATCCCCAGCCCCTTTTTGTATTTTATTTAGAGACAAGGTCTTACTGAGTTGCTTATCACCTCTCCATTGCTGAGGCTGGTTTCGAACACACAATCCTCCTGTCTCAACCTCCTGAGCCGCTGGGATTACAAGCATGTGCCACTGCTGCTGGATGATTTTTACTTCCTTTAACATTTTCTTCCCACTGTTTGAGGCATTTGCTAGCAGAAGGGGCAGAGACCCACAAAACTAGATAATCATTTGCAGAGATACTGAGATGCTGATATGCTAGAGATCAATCAATTCCTTATCTTCACCTCAAATGCAGCAGAAATCATACTATGATGGTGGCAGACCTCCCTAAGCACACCAAGATTGTTTTAGGGACCATGATTTGGTAATAAGAGAAGGGTTTCCACATGGTTGATATCCTCATACTGTGAGTCTGTAAAATGTCTTTGTGCCAAGATTATACTTAGGTAATGACTTCTTTGATAATGGTTCTCTTCAGGTTTTCTTCCATTTATTACATTTACTTCTATTTATTTCATTAATTCCATTTATTTCATTTATTACAAGGCTGACAACAATAATTATCTGTATGGCTCACTCAAAAATACAGAGCTAGCTGGGTGCAGTGGTGCACACCTGTAATCCCAGCTGCTTGGGAGCCTAAGGCAGGAGGATCATGAGTTCAAAACCAGCCTCAGCAACTTAGCGAGGCCCTAAGCAACTTAGCGAAACCCTGCCTCAAAAAATAAAAAGGACTGGGGATGTGACACAGAAGTTAAGCATCCCTGGGTTCAATCCCTGGTATTGTACCATCCAAACCAAACCAAACAAATAAACAAACAACAACAACAAAAAAAAACAACCAGGGCTGGCTACTTTCAGTTTATAGTTAACATTTTGGGGCCTTATTTTCCTGGCATAATGAGTAGACAACATAAACTTGACTTTATTATTCTAAGCCTTAAATGAGAAAAATAAGCAGGCTGAACTTAAGGGCTATTTTTCAACATAATTATAATTTGGAATAATTTTTAAGTGCTATTAAATTCATATTCTAAAATAATTGTAGGGAACTACTTAAAGCACCGTCAAGAAAAATGTTTCAAAAAATTACAGGGCTAGGGAGTATAGCTCAGTGGTAATGTGCTTGCCTTGCATCTCATGGTTTGAGCCCTGGCACCAGTGGGGAGAAAAGGTACATTTATACATATTCTAATTTAATAGAAACTGAACAATACTCATTTAAAGAAAGAAATTTACATTTTATAAAAGTAGAGATAAAGGAAGAAAATACCATATCCCAGGAGTTCTGAGACTTTGTGTTTCAAGGATCACTAAAGATTTTTTTCTTTAACAAAAGCTACCTTCACCTACTATAATACCAGAGAGAATGGAGTTTTAGGAGCAGGGGACTAGGAAGAACAGTCACTTCAACTGAGGGGAAGGAAATGGCCATCACTAGGGTTAGGAAGTTGAGTCTCTATGTCAGTTCCTGGGTGTCACATTCCCTATTCTAATGTCCTAGCTTTAGCTGAGTAATTCCAATGACTCAGAAGGCTGAGGCAGGAGGATAACAAAGTTCAAGGTCAGCCTGGGCAACTTAGGGAGACCCTGTCTTGAAATAAACAAATTTTAAAAAGGGCTCTAGATGCAGCCCAGTGATAGAGGACTTGCCTAGCATATGTGAGGCCCTGGGTTCAATTTTGTACTAGTTTCAATTCCCAGTACAAAAAAAAAAAAAGTCCTAGCTTTATACTACACTGTTGTTTTCTTTGAAGAATGCCTGGATATGATGCCTTAGGCCCACATCAGATGGTCACATTTACCTACAAGAGGCAACCTTTACTAGCAAAAAGTAACTATTTAAAATCATACTGACATGTAAATAAAACACATTTTTAAATGTCAAACTAAGTTTTACCTTTGTGTTCATTAGCTACTTACTCCCTCTGTGATCTGCTTCTCTTTCCAGCAGGCAAATACTGCCTACTGGATGTTTAGATAAAATATATGAAAAATATAAAACTGAAGAAACAAATTAATCTAGTTTTTGCTGGAAATGATGACCATTTGAAGATGTTAGCCAGTGGACACTTGGGCCTCAAGGGAGGAGCCTAAGAACCCAGAACTGGTCAGAGGAGCCCTAAGGTGGAAGTAGGAAGTCAGAGAGAATCCAGGGTTCCTTATATTTCATTTGAAAATAATATTCCATTGCTGAAAAGGTTTGTCCTTTTAGCATGGCCTCCATCTCTTCCAGATTCCACACAAGTTCCTCTCATCCTTTGCCAACCCCTGCACCAGACTCTAGTTGCACAAATACTACGTAATTTGCCATTTTCTAATTAGTTCATGTGGACTGTTTTATCTCCCATCCTCAAAGGGGAGGGAGGGCAGAAACTGTGTCATATTCCTCACTCCCACCCCCTTTCTGCATAGCACTTTTTTTAAAAACTCAATAGTTGCAGATTCATTTTCTAGAAATGACTGAATATCCTACCCATTACCACATCTAACCTGCATTCACTCATTTGCCCACATATCCAAGGGCCTAACCAGACCTAGGTGTAAAACACCCACCTTGCCCTGATGGTAGTGCCATTTAGTTACAATGTGGGCAAGTAATTTATTTATTGGCTGTCAGAGAACAGAAATAAACATAGGTGTGGAGGAGAGGAGACTAGACCCTGTAACAAGTTGTGGCTCAAGGAAATAGATGTCTAAGGCACATTCTAATAGCAAAGGTGACCTGAAACAATTATTTTTTTTTTACTTTCTAGCGGACCATTCTATCAGCATTTCTATTGCTATTTCTCTCATTCAAAAACAATCAAATAAACAAAAAAAGCAAATCTTTTAACTTTACTACTTCCCAGCTACTACCTTTTCTTGCTCTTCTTTACATAAAATTCCTCAAAAGATGGGTCCATAATCTTTCCAATTCCATTCCTGTCATTTCCTAAATTCAAAAGGTCATTGGTTAGTCTTCATTTTACTTCACTTCTGATCACTCCCTTTTCTTTATTTGCTTCTAGGACACCTCACTCTTGGAATTCCTCCTATTTCACCAAGAGCTACTTCTCAAAACTCCTTTGCTAATTCCTTTCGTTTTCCCTGATATCTTACTATTGGAGGGCCCAAAGGCTCAGTCTTAGTCCTCTTCTTTTCAGCTTTTAAGTGTACTGTCAACTACTTTTTTTTTTTCTTCTTTTTTGGCATTGAGGATTAAACCCGGGGACACTTTACCATTGAGCTATACCCCCAGTCCTTAAAAAAAAAAAAAAAAAGTCTTGGGTCTCACTAAGTTGCCCAGGCTAGACTCAAACTTGGGATCCTTTTCCCTCAACCTCCCAGGTAGCTAGGACTACATGTATGTACCACTCTGCACCACTCAGCCAACCTGTTTTGACAAATGCATCAAAACACCAAGTATTTCCATGGCTTTAAGTACTACCCTTATAACGAAGTACTTCCTAATCTATAACCCCATTCCAGAACTTTCCCCCTAATTCTAGACTTGTATATCTGCACAAAAAGAGTTAACATAACAAGCCTGAAATTACTATCCTTAGAAAGGCCTGCTTGCAAAATTGTCTGAGAATTCGGACTTTAAGAAAGTTCCAACCATACCCCAAACTGATAGGAATGGTGCCAAAATTGTATCATTTGTTTTATGCTAAATACCTACTTTTTTTCTGGGAGTCTGTTATAATTGTTGCCATAGAAATTAAGCATGTCCTGTGTCACTCTACTGCAGAGGACTTTTAGAGAAAATGGTGCCTAGTTTCCTCCAGACTTTGCCCTATTTGTCTTTTCTCTTTGGTTATTTTGCTTGGTATTCCTTTCCTGTAATAAATTATAGCTATGAGTATGATTATATGCTGAGTCTTGTGAGTCCATTTAGTGAACAGAACCCCCAATACAAAGTCCAAATGTCTATTTGACATCTCCACAAGAGTAATAGGCACCTCAAACTTAACTGGTCCAAAAACAAACTCCTCATATACCCCCAGCCCCAGACCTGCTCCACCTACAGCCCAGTTAATGGTAACTCCATCCTTCTAATTGCTAAAAACAAAAGCATCTAGTCATTCTTGATGCTTCTCTTTCCATCATATCCATAATGTTGGAAATCATGTTGGCTGTATTTTTTTTTTTAAGAGAGAGAGAGAGAGAGAGAGAGAGAGAGAGAGAGAGAGAGAGAGAGAGAATTTTTAAAAATATTTATTTTTCAGTTTTCGGTGGACACAACATCTTTATCTTTATTTTTATGTGGTGCTGAGGATGGAACCCAGCGCCCCGCGCATGCCTGGCGAGCTTGAGCCACATCCCCAGACCCTTGGCTGTATTTTCAAAACATGTCCAGAGTCCTACCACTTCTTACTACTTACACTGCTACTACAGATTCAGCCCACCATCACCCATCCCCAGGTGACACAAAGGCTCCAAGGAAGTCTGTTCTCCACAATATGGCAAGAATGATCCTCTGACTCTTTTAAAAAGCTGTCAGACCAGGGGTGGTGGCCTATATCTGTAATCCATACCTACTTGGGAGGCTGAGGCAAAGGATTACACTTTTGAGGCCAGCCTGGGCAACTTAGACCCTATCTCAAAATAAAATATAAAGGGCTAGGGGTGTAGCTCAGTGGTGGATCACAGTCCTGGGTTACATCCCCAGTACCACAAATTCTTTAAAAAAGTGATTCAGACTATATTACTTGTTTCCTCAAATCCCCCCCAAAGCACCCAAAACCCTCATCACCTGCCTCTTTCACCCTTTGCTCGCTCAATTATAGACAACTGGCCTTCTTCATACTCCTCAGATACAAGGGACTGTCTTAGCTCATTTTCTATTGCTGCAACCGAATACCACACCCAGGTAAGTGAATACAGGTATTTATTTAGCTCATCATTTCTGGAGGCTGTAAAGTGCAAAAGCATGGTGCTGGCATCCCATAAGGACCTTCTTGATGCATGGTTACATGGTAGAGGGCATCATGGCAACAGAGCAAGAATAGGGAGAGCTCTCTTTTATAACAAAAGCACTTCCTCAAATAACCTATTAACCTATGGATGGACTACTCCATTCATAAGGGCAGAATCCTCATGACCCAATCACCTCCCAAAGGTCCCACCTTTCAACACAGCTGTACTGAGGATCAAGTTCCCAACACATGAAATTTGGGGCCACATTCAAACCATAGCAGGGAACTTTCTTCCAGCTTTGTGAAACACTCTTATTCCGATTATCTGCAAAGGTAACTCTCTACCTTCTTCAAATCTTGATTCAGTGTCCCCTCAATGAGGCCTACCTACTCTTTAAATAGTTTTAATTGTAGATGAACACAATACCTTTATTTTATTTTCATGTGGTGCTGAGGATCAAACCCAGTTCCATATGTGAGGCAAGCACTTTACAACAGCAGCACCCTATTCCAATTCTATTCCATCTTGCCCTCCCCAAATCCCTTACCTTGTATACCTTGTTCTCCCACAGCACTTATTACATGCTACCATGTAATTTACTGGGTGTTTTTTTGTTTGCCCATGTCCCTAAGATGAACACTTCAAAACAGTAGGATTCTTCACCCCTATTTCCCCTCCTCTGCTGCATTCTAATAGGCGAGAATAATGCCTGGCAATTGTTAAGCACTTAATTCAAAAGGGGGGCTGAGGTTGTGGCTCAGTGGTAGAGCACTTGCCTGGCATGTGTGAAGCACTGGTTTAGATCCTCATCATCACATAAAAATAAAGGTATTGTGTCCATTACAACTAAAAAAATTAAAAACAAACAAACAAACAAAACCTTGTGGAATGAAAGTAGACCAGGAGAACTGGTATATTAGAAATGAACCCAGAAAAGAACACACAGAAGGACTGGACTGATGGGCAAGGGGCTACATCTCTAAGTTTGGACCATCAAAGTTTGAACCTGACCCAGACAGCATGAAGCCACAGAAAGATCTTAAGTAGGAAAATGACCGAATAGGAGCGTACACTGAAATCTCTCTTCAGCTGTGTGGATGTCGATTAGAAGCATGAGTGCCAACAAGCCGAAAGAGGTAAAATTTGTGAACTAACCTAGGTCTGCAAGAAGAGCAATGTTAGGATACAAAGGCAACATGTCCTTGACCTGCACGAAGCTGAAATCGCTGCATAGGACATGGATCAGTCGGATGGGGAAACCCGTCTAAATGTTGTGACGATTACTGTAGCTTAAGGTTACTGTCCCTTCTAGAGACCTCAGAAGCTGAGGGCTGAGACAAGGTCGGATTCCCCTCGCGCCCTCCCCATCCTGCAGGCTGTGCACCTTTCCAACTCCCCAAGGTCAGAGGAAATTGAACACCCACGTCACCGGGTTCCGAGTCTGCGTCTGAAGCCAGCAGAAGCGCCCCGGCCCAGGAGCCCCGACGCACCCAATCCCACAGTCCTCGTGCAGCCCCAGAGCTCACGCGGCGTCCGCAGGTTGTTCGGACTCAGCAGGACGCAGGAGACTCTTGCGTGGACCTGGCAGGAGTGTGGGCGGGGCACAGAGGGTCCCAGCGTATGTTTCACAGTGAAAAAGTGAAGCAACAGAGACCGGCACCGGCCGGGGGCGCGGCGCGCCAGTAGGGGCGCACTTACCTGTAAGTCAGGGCCGCCGCTCCCTCCCCGCGGCCGCGCCGACTGCAGTTCCCCAGTCCAACCCTCCACCCGCTCCTGCCCCGCCCCTTCCCCGCCCCTTCCGCCTGCGAGACCAGAACAGGCCGGAAATGACGCGTGGTCAGGGCGATACTGGCGTAGCGACCCCTGCTGGAGGCCACGCCTTGGATGACCCCACAGGAGTGGCGCCCTGAAGACCGCCTCAGGCCTAGCTGATCCAGGCTGCTGCGCCGTGTGGTTCCACGTGGCTCAGAAAAGCTTAGCTATAATGCAACGGTCGTTTCTCTGGAGTTACCAGCACCTTTGAGAGAATTATAAACGTTGTCTCCAAATAAATGTACACACATTCTAGAACGTGGAAGTTTAGAACATCCTTTCAAGAATAAAGTGAATGAAAGGATAAACTGCACCCTGGTTTGTCCAGTTCACTTGTCACCTATTGGTGATTGGATGGCCAAAAAGAGGATGTGTGTGTGTGTGTGTGTGTAAAAATACGCCCGGCTAGTGTATCTATGGAAACAGCCCTTTTGAAGTAACAAGACGAACCAGATTCTAAAAGAAGAATTTTCATAGAACACCTGTTTCATAGTTTTATACCTGTTCATATTAATGCTTTTGGGAACACGTGCATCTCAAAATAGAAATAGATTTTTCTTTGTTTTCAGGAAGTCCTCTGTTAATTGTCCTGCGCAATAGCTTTGCTACTTATATTTTCTTTTAAAAAAATATTTTTTAGTTGTAGTTGGACACAATATCATTTATTTATTTATTTATTTATTTTTATGTGGTGCTGAGGATGAAACCCAAGGCCTTGAACATGCTAGGCAAGCGCTCTGCCACTGAGCCACAACCCCAGGCCCAAGTTAGTATTTTCTTTTACGCAGCTTCACACAGTGGCTACTTCGTTGCATTTGTGCAATAAGAAACAGCAGTTGCAAATTGTTTCAAGTGTAGGAATGATACAAATTGACATGTGTCAGTTCAGTTATACTGTTGACATATTGAGAAATGCACAGTTGCAGTTACTAGTTTAAGTCATTTGTGAAACATTACAGATACATTGTTAATAAATGTGCCCGTAATAGGGTTAATCATAATTATTACAAACTGACAGAATTGCTGAATAATTATGGTGAGAATGGAAGAAGAGAACACAGTGATATTGAATTATATACAATCAAATTGGTCACTGGCCTTTAAAAAAAAATAAAAATTGGGGAGCTGAGGTTGTGGCTCAACGGTAGAGTGCTTGCCTAGCACTTGCGAGGTGCTGGGTTCGATCCTCAGCACCACATAAAAATAAATAAATAAAATAAAAGGTATTGTGTCCAGCTACAACTAAAAAATATTTTTTAAAAAACATTTAATTAGATGAATCAAGGTAGTTTTTAAAACTTAAAAATGCTAATCATAGTTAAAATCTATGGTGAGATTAACAAGTAATGTAAAGTATAGTGACTTTAAAAACGTTTTGCATTTCTTTATAGTACTCCCCCTGCCTATCCTACTCCATTTCTTTTTACTATGGGAGAGAAATTCCCCCATAGGATTCCTATGTATTTGGTGCC